GTGATTCCATTCCATAAATGTGTGTCTGTGTAGTCACCAGTTATCCTCAATTTGTCTTTGTAGCCAGGCTAATAACTTGCATAGCATAGACTTTCAATTCCTCCTTCAGATGAATTTGTTTTTTTTTTGTTTTGTTTTTTTATTTGATTTATATGCCGCCCTTCTCCGGAGACTCAGGGCGGCTTACAATGCGTTAAGCAATAGCCTTCATTCTTTTGTATATTTTATACAAAGTCAACTTATTGCCCCCACAAACTGGGTCCTCATTTCACCTACCTTAGAAAGGATGGAAGGCTGAGTCAACCTTGAGCCTTGGAGAGATTCGAACCAGCAGAAATTGCAGGCAGCTGTGTTAATAACAGGGTGCACTAAATCCCTGTACTATCAAGGCTCTTGCTCAGGACCTCCCTGTAAACTACATTCCTGGTTTTGCTGTCTGGCTGGAGGATGACCAGGCTGTCACGTGAACTGACTCTGGAGCATGCCACAAAGAACTGGCCATGGGAGAAACAGTCACTCCTCAGATGCACACCAGCCACTTTCAAAATCTGTCCCTGTGCCTTATTGATGGTGATGGCATAACACACCTTATCGGGAAAATGTAGATGTTTGAACTCGAAGTGGTAGTCTGATGGGATCAGAGCAGTGGTGAGTTGCCCCTGGTTCGGTCCAGTTCGCAAGAACTGGTAGTAAAACCGGCGGGAGGCCCTGTCCACCGCCCTGGATGTTGTCATCAGCAATCTGCACATGCGCAGAAGCTTCTGTGTGCGATCCCATTGAGGACCAGTAGAAAAGGTAAGTAGAACATACTTCTGGATCAGAGGAATTCAGGGTATGAAAACAGTTTCTCCCTGACTGACGCCTGTGAAAACCATGGCTTCGATTATGTGTTTGTATAGAGTCTTCACCTGAAGCCCGGTGCCATTGCATAGTTTCGGAGGGGTTAGACTGCGTAACAGCATGATTGGAGTGCCAACCTTGAGGTAGAGGACATGAGGTGGTAATCCTGGTGAGTTGAGAATGTGCAAGAACTCCACAAGGTAATGTACAGCATCTTCAACCTCCATTACCGAGTCTACAGATTCATACTTCATATGCTCAGTGGACAGCTTCTCCAGCAGAAAGTTGATGCTGTTGGCTGAGTCGTTTGTTGGAGTGAGAATAGCTCTTTCCCTCAGCCATGAAGCGCAATCCACTCCAGCCTGATGAATGTTGAGGTATATTCTGTCAGTCAAGCTGATCAGATCTCTCACAACATCGCAAAGGTTACTTGGAATAGTTATTCTTCCCTCCTCTTCCAAAAGCTTGCCATCACCAATATCAAGTAATAAGTTAAAAAACTCTTCTGCCCTCAAATCACGTTGAAGGTGGACACGCGTGTTAACTCTCAAGGACAGGACCTTGACATTAGGCCATAAGATGGACGACTTGAGACAGGCCTTGACTTCATCTGCACGTGTTCCTCGTGGCACAACAGGCAACGTCTGTCTGAAGTCACCAGCCAAAAGCACCATAACTCCCCCTCAAAGACAGTTGCTGCCCCTAATGTCCTGGAGCGTCCTATTTAGAGCCTCAATACCTCCTTTGTGAGTCATAGTGCACTCATCCCACAGGATAACTGTGGCTTTGTGTTAATTTAAGGCAACTGGCATTTGGAACAGAGTTCTTTTCAGGTAGGGAGGGGGAGTAGAATGTTACTAATCCAGTGGTGGGTTGCCCCCCGGTTTGGACCGGTTCTATAGAACCTGTAGTAAAACCGCACGGAGGCTCCGCCCACTGACCCTGACATCATCAGAAGCGAAAACCAGTAGTAAAGGTAAGTAGAATCCACCCCTGTACTAATACTAATAATATAATTATTATGGTCACCAATTATAAAAGATGTGGGTCTTCAAACCTAGAAGTAAACCATTCCAGAGAGCAAAACTCAAACATCTTTCCACCTCTGTGTAAAATAGATCGTTTTAACAGGCCGTGTTCAGTGGTGGGATTCAAGTAATTTAACAACCGGTTCTCTGCCCTAATGATTTCTTCAAACAACCAGTTTGCCAAACTGCTCAGAAAGTTAACAACCGGTTCTCCCGAAGTGGCGAGAACTGGCTGAATCCCACCACTGGCTGTGTTGTTATCTAGAGTTGGTAAGTGTCCCTTCATAGTGATTTTCAGGTACCAAGGGGGGAAAAGACTATGAATTCCTGCTCTGAAGAAATTACAATTTGAAAAAACATACTGGGAGTGGCATTCATTTAATAAGAGACTGTATATTGCAGAGAAAGAGATAGTGGTCAGGCTCACGAGAATAATATATTTTCTGTTTGCAAAATAGCTTTTAAACTTGCCCTTTTTTTTCCTGACCAGAGTTAGTAGCTATTGCGTCTTGTGATGCACAGGAAATAAGAACTGCCGTTCCAAAATGTGTGGTTTGAGCCAATGCAGCAAAAAAAAAAGATCTGAGGTATTTCAGCAACTGTGAACTCTTTAAAATCTCTCCATGACTGTAAAAAAGTAAAGAAAGATTTGAAAAACAGCTGCTCTATTCTGGTCAATGCAGGTCTGGCTTCCTAACTGCAATACGGCTTTGCCAGATGTAATATAACATGGTTAAGCAGCCCTAACACATCCCTTGTCTGGTGTTCTGTTACATTAAGACTGCAATCCTCAAAATGTCCAATTAACAGAGTTTTTGTGCAACTGTTTTGTTCTTGATCCAAACCAGGGGTGAAATGAGCCTTGGTAGTACAGTGGTCTAAAGCACTGTTATTAACAACTGCTGCTTGCAATTACTCCAAGTTCAAATCTCGCCAGGCTCAAGGTTGACTCAGCCTTCCATCCTTTCTAAGGTACGTAAATTGAGGATCCAGTTGTGGGGGCAATAAGCTGACTTTGTATAAAATATACAAAAGGATGAAGGCTATTGCTGAGCACATTGCTTAGCGCATTGTAAGCCGCCCCGAGTCTCCGGAGAAGGGCGGCATATAAATCAATTTTTTTTTAAAAAATGCTACCAGTTCGCTCCAATTCAGCTGAACCGGTAGCGGCGACAACATGTGGTTTGGCGAACCGGTAGCGGTGGCAGCACGAGGCTCCGCCCACCCACCCAGATGTCATGACTTCCTGGTTTTAACCAGGAAGTGACCTGTTTTTGACCCTCTGTGCATGCGCAGAAGGCTTTGTGCATGCACAAAGGGTCCAAAATCGGATGTGAAGATGGCACGCGTGCGCAAGCACTTCCAAACTGGTAGGGAAGGTAAGTAAATTTCACCCCTGATCCAAACCATCATCCAACTGTAGAGTTGGAATCCCAGGACCTGTTGAACTACAACTCCCAGCATTCCTTGCCTTTGGCCATGCTGATGGAGTTTGTGAGAAGTGATTGGACATCAATTTGAAAGTTTCTTCTCCAGATTTATTACAGTTGAGGGCCTCCAAATATTCTTCACTTTTGTTTTTCCAATTTGTCTCCGTTCTGCTTGTAAGAATAAAAGTTTTTTCTCACAACTTCCTTTTTTCTTAAAATATAGAGAACTTGACAACGAACCAACACTGAAATAAGAAGCAAACTCACATGCAAGGCCAATGATAGCTTGGACAGTGTGCTAGACTTCAGGAAAATAGAAAAACATCCAGCATCAGGACAGAGCCAGGAAAATAGCTGTATTGGAAAACTGAAAATTTGTGATTCTGGGAAAATTGAACTCAGTATGGCCAGTGGTGGGATTCAAATAATTTAACAACCGGTTCTCTGCCCTAATGACCAGCTGGGTAGGCATGGCTCCATAGTCATGTGACCGTGTGGGCATGGTCAAGTCAACGTCACTCAGGTCGATGGGCGCTTTGCCTTAGCTATTACAATGTAACAAAAGTTAACCAGAGAGGCAGTTTCTATGAGCAGGGCAATAAAGATTAGGCTAGAAACAACACCAGAATGTTTCCTTCCTGCCTTCTTTACAGGATTAGCCCTGTACACCGGTTCTCTGAACTGCTTAGAAAGTTAACAACCGGCTCTCCCGAATAGGTGTGAACTGGCTGAATCCCACCACTGAATATGACCTTTTCCCCTTCCAAAATTCCCAGTTGTTAAGGTTTCCACTGCCTTCTTCACTCTTCACAATTCTTGTGTTTAGCTGCACTATAAATATTGTTCTGCATGTCAACTTTAAAGGAGAGAGTTGTACACACAGCTCTTGCTTGGTTAAGATTGTGCAGCGAATGTAAACATGGAGAATAACTAAAATAACAATGACGATCGAAAGACAAGGTTGCATCAATCTCCGTTTGTCAAGGACTGCTTCTCAAGGACTTCCTAAAAGGGCCTTAGAAATACACATCTGGTTTTAGTTGTGAAGAACATGGCTAGGCTACACAATGAAAGTTGCATAAGATGTTGCAACACTTTCTCTAGGGGGTGAGGATGGATGAGATAGCATTAGCATTTGAAGGGGGGATTTCAGAAATAGACAAATAACAGCCACTCGTACTCAGTGGGCACATCATACTGGGTGGATGAAAATGGGGAGGGTGAAAATGAGAAAAGAAGAGAGCAGATGAAACGGCATGTCCTGGATTGGGGCATGGTTGCCGTCCTGGGCTTCTGTAGTTTCTTTTGGGTGGGTGGGTGCAGAGGAGTCCCACCTGTTGAACCTCCTGGCCTGTTACTGGAGATCACAAACATAAAAAAGGACCAAAAAATGAACTTTTAATCTTAGTTTCCTTTGTAAATTGCAACAGTGACTCTTAGCTTCATTTGCACTGCCGTCTGGAAACCACCTAAAGAAGAACATATTTTATTACACTCATAATCTCTTAGAGATTTTCCTCCTTTCAGCGTAGGAGCACATAACCACAGCTGTACATGGGCAGAGAAAATATAGTTAACACTTAGGAGAAGTAATAGTAGTGTAGATCAACAACACTTCCGTTACTCATATGCGGGCGTATTAAGAACACCTCACTTCCACCTAGCCCATCTATTTTGGATTGCAGTTGACCATGGATACCGGTCTGGTCTATGCAGACATCAAATGTTCTGAAGATTCCTCATCCAGAAGAAGTTCAAATTTAATTGTTGTTCAACAGGCAGGTAAGTTCATTTATTTCAGGACAGTCTTTCAGACTGAGAAAGGCAACATACATTGAAAGGTCTTCCATTTCAGCCTTTTAAAATATACAGACTATAAGTAAAAGCCCAGACAGCCAGAAAGGAGTAGGGAAAAGAGGTGCAGATAAGGAACCCAGATTTAAGTTGTCACTTGGCTGCAAAGCTCACTTGTTGACTTTGAGCCAGTCACAATATTTCCCCGGTTAATTTCTCCCCAAAGATTGTTGCTGTGCAGATAACAGAGGGGTGGCCCACTACATATGTGTATTTAGCTTGTAGAAAAACCATGAGATATAATGCAATATTGATTGTAATCACAGATGCAAGTACAATACCTGAAATATTGCACGCAAGACTGGCTCCGCTTTGTTGCATCTTCTCATAGAGAAAACAGAAGGAAGTTCTTTGCATTGGATGTCCTCCAGGCTACCTTTGCTCCCAAATAATTGTACAAAAGTTAATCACAGCTTAGGGGCCCTTGATGAACCCAATGACACAGAGCATTGCAGACCTCGGCACTTTCAAAAAAAACCATGATTGCATTGTTCAGCCATGTATGAAACATGAAGGATCATTGGCAACGTGGATCTCTAAAAAATCTTGTAGGAATGCAACGGGGACTAAGTATCGAGTACAATTTGAAGAGAGTTCTGTGTTTGTTAGCTTTGTGCTAAAAGATAGGCGGATTTTATTTTCCTTGTGGTTTTACAGATAAAATTCTAAGAGCTGCCAATGGTTACCATTTATGTGGCTTGTTCTAAATGTCTCTTCTTCATCCACCCACGCCCACCTCACACAAGAACCTTTGGTCGAAAGGCAGTTCAGTAGGGATCTTCCTCTCTGTCTTCTGAGGAAGATAGAGAACCTTTCTTGTTCTTTTACTTTAATCTCTTGTCAATTCAAAAATTGGTTCTCCACTGCTTTCATTACAATTGTTTCACATGTGCTTATTTATGCCTATGAAGATTTTCAGTCATCCAGGTCCTGGTAGTCCCAAAGTTGCTTTTTCAAGAGGCAACTGGACTTTCTGGTTTATTTTTTTCTTAGAAGACATTTCTATTCTCATCCAAGAAACTTCTTCAGCTCTGTCTGGATAGTGGGGAATGGAAGGATTTATACTCCTTACCTTGGAACAGTTCCAAGAAGGCTCCACACCCATTTGGACCACTCAGGTGACCCTGATGACACAGATAAACCCCCAGGTAGCCTTAACAACTCGCTAAAAGAATGCAAATGACCAGCTGTCTGCAAGGAGTATAAATCCTTCCATTCCCCACCATCCAGTCAGCACTGAAGAAGCTTCTTGGATGAGAAGCAAAACGTCTTCAAAGAAAAAAATTCCAGAAAGTCCAGTTGCCTCTTGAAAAAGCACCTTTGGGACATGTGCTTATTTAGTTATTAAATTTATATACTGCCGATCGTAATCTTGAGCAACTCTTCTTGTACATTTATTATGATTAGATTAGGTTATTTGAAAGTCACTTATCTCCCATAGTTTCCGCTTCTCCAGTAAGATCATACAGAGTGAGTGTACTTCAGATGCCTTTGATTAAACAACATCAGGGTTCTGGGAAGTAAATCTTTGTCACCCATAGCGTCTGTCTTCTAGAACAGGGGTGTCAAACTGGCGGCCCGTGGGCTGGATGTGTCACGAGCAGGCCACGCCCACCCCAGCTCCGTAAAAGGAAAAAATGTCGCAATATGTCACGTGATGGCGACGTGACGTGGCAAGTTTGACACCCATGTTCTAGAACATCATTATCCAAGAGACTGATATGGTTCCTACCTTGATAATATACCCCTGAAAATCTGTTTGTTCTTCCAAATAGCAATAGTACTTATATGCATTCTATTGTGCTTTACAGCACTCTCTGGATGGTTTCTACACTGTGTGCACAATTATTAGAAAAGTTGTATTTTGGAGGATTAACTTTATTATTGAACAACTACGGTGTTCTTGATCAATCCAAAACATTACTGAACCTCAAACTTCAAGAAAGTAAAAGTGAGGTTTTTTTCCTTTCTTAGGAGAATATGAGTGCATAAGTATTGGGCAACTATTAGTGTGCAGAATTATTATGCAACTAAATGAAAAAACAAAAATTTGCCCATCTCACTCATTTATTTGCATCTATTAAAGTGAGAATAAACAAACAACTCAAAATGTACAAATAAATATTTCTGATATTTCAACAAAAAAAAAATCAGTGACCAATATAGCCGCCTTTCTTTTCAATAACAGTCATAAGTCTTCCATTCATAGAGTCTGTCAGTTTCTTGATCTGTTGATGATCAACTTTTTCTGCAGCAGCAACCACAGCCTCCCAGACACTGTTCAGAGAGGTGTAATGTTTCCTTCACTATAAACCTCCCATTTAAGAAGGGGCCACAAGTTCCCAATAGGGTTTAGATCAGGTGAGGAATGGGGCCATGTCATTCTTCTTTCATCTTTAAGGCCTTAACTAGCTAGTCACCCAATGGAGTATTTCGATGCATGCAATGGAGCATTGTCCTGCATAAAAATCATGATCTTCTTGAAAGATGCAGACTTTTTCCTGAAGAAAGTGTCTTCTAAAAACTGGCAGTAGGTTTGGGAGTTGATTTTGAGTCCATCTTCAAACCAAAAAAAGTCCAGCTAGCTCATCTTTAATAGTACCAGTCCATACCAGTACCCTTCCTCCACCTTGCTGGTGTCTGAATCGAAGTGGAGCTCTGTGCCCATTACTGATTCAGCCACGGGCCCATCCATCTGGTCCGTCAAGAGTCACTCTCATCTCATCAGTCCATAAAACCTTTGAAAAATCTGTCTTCAGATATTTCTTGGCCCAGTCTTGCCGTTTCAACTTATGTGTCTTGTTCAGTGGTGGTCGGGTTTCAGCCTTCCTTACCTTGGCCATGTCTCTGAGCACTGAACACCTTGTACTTCTGGGCACTCCGGATAGGTTGCAGTTCTGGAATAAGATGCCACTGGAGGATAATGGGTTCCTGGTAGCTTCTTGTTTGATTCTTCTCAAATCTTTGACAGTTAATGCATCTTTTTTTCTCAACACGTTTCTTGCGACCCTGTTGACTATTTGCAACTAAACGTTTGCTGAGCTTGTCGATTGAAAGGTCAGCAATTCAGCAGTTCGAATCCCTAGTGCCACGTAATGGGGTGAGCTCCCGTTACTTGTCCCAGCTTCTGCCAACCTAGCAGTTTGAAAGCCCGTAGAAAAATAGGGACCACTTTGGTGCGAAGGTAACAGTGCTCTGTGCACCTTCGGTGTTTTAGTCATGCTGGCCATATGACCACGGAGACGTCTTCAGACAGCGCTGGCTCTTCAGCTTTGAAACAGAGATGAGCATCTCCCCCTAGAGCCAGAAACGAATAGCATGCATCTGCGGGGGAACCTTTACCTTTACCTAATAAACTGTTAATGTAGATTATACTTGCTTGGAATGAAAAGGGAGGTTTCTTTTACTATTTTTTTTCTTTTTCCTCTCTCTTTTCTTTTTTCTGTACTTTTTAATTTTTTCTGTAGTTGTCTAAGTTTTACTCGTATAATATAATCTTTAAGACAATTATTGGGGGGGAAAGAAATTTGACTATAGCCAGTACCATTGTTTGGAAATTTATTTATTCTAATATATTTTACGTCCTTGCTACTCGTGTTTCCCCAAAAATATGACCTAGTCTTATATTTTTTTGAACCCCGAAATAAGCGCTTGGCCTTATTTTTGGGGAGGTCTTATTATTTTGGGGCGCATGGAGCAAGATGGGGCTCCTCTTGCCGTCTTACCTGATTTCCAGCTCTGCATTTAAATATTTTCAGGGAGGGCTTATTTTGTGGGGGGGAGGCTTATTTTAGCACATGCGCTCAAAAGCCCAATTGGGCTTATTATCAGGGGATGTCTTATTTTCAGGGAAACAGGGTATTTATTACACAGCAATGTACAACTAACATTTAAATTTAACTATAATTTCAACTGGGAAACTGTGAGCATCTTAAACCCAGCCAAGTCTAAAAACTCTAGGGAATTCCTGGAAGCCTGGCATTCAGCAATCAACAAGCACATAAACATAAACAACATTTGTACACCATTCAAAAGAGACAGTCAAAAAGCTAAAAATGGAACATCATCTCCTCAGGCAGCAATCAAGATACAGATAAACAGGGATTAACAACAGAATTAACATCACACCAATAATCAAGCAGTAAACAATACCCCAATTAAGGAATTACTAACTCAGATAAACAATCAAGCCTTAAACAACAGCTTAATCAAGAAACTAGCAAGAAGAGAATAATATTCCCACAACACTGACTGGGCAAGCATCTGTATATAAACAGAGAGCAAATCCCATTCCTTTCAGCACTGATGATGTTACCTACTTCAGTAATGAAATGTCTGCAAGAAAACAATCAAGCTCAGAGAGCACCAAGAACTCAACAATTCAACCCTGAGCTGCAAATATTCTTTTCTATCGGCAACATCTGGATTAAATAAAATGAATTAAAAGCATTTTTTCAAAAATACAGGACAAAATGCAGTCTGCTGGGGAATACATAAAACAAAGCCAAGTTTTTTAAATTGGCTCAGGACCTGGGTACTTGGTGGTCGTCCGGGTGCACTTCAAGGTTTTGGTTACCACCTTTAAAGTGCTCCATGGCTTAGGGCCTGGTTATTTACGGGACCGCCTACTACCACCAATAGCCTCCCACCAGCGGGTACGCTCTTATAGAGAGGGGCTCCTCCAGGTGCCATCGGCCAAACAATGTCGACTGGCGGCCCCCAGGGGGAGAGCCTTCTCTGTGGGGGCACCTACTATCTGGAACGAGCTCCCCCTGGAGATACGGAGGATCCCAGATCTGTGCACCTTCCGCCGCACTCTAAAGACCTTTTTATTTCACCAGGTGGGCCTGGCCTAACTTTCTCCCTCTTTTTAAACATTTTTAATATTTTTAAATATTTTTTAGTATTTTTAATATTCAAAGTTTAAATTTGTTTTAAATTGATTGGGGTTTTAAATCTGTCTGGGCCAAACTATTTAATTCAATTTTATCTCTGCTTTTTAAATTTTGTATGTATGTATTTTATTGTTGTCTGTTCACCGCCCTGAGTCCTTCGGGAGTAGGGCGGTATATAAATCAAATAAAAGTAAAGTAAAAGTAAAGTAAATTATATTTTTATTCATTAAATAAAAAAGCAAAAATGAAGAAAAGGGAAACAAATGCATATACATATGGAATATAAGCCAAATTTTTAACACAGATTGGGGTGAAAAGGGGACAGAGTAGTAACAAAGAAGGCATGCCTCCAGGTGGGAAAAACAATAAAATCTATTAAAACATCCTACAATACATACTTTTAAAGGTGGGTGGCAAAATGAGGGGGGGAGCTTGTAACATTCAGAAAGGGAATTTGGAATAAGGAAGCGAAAGTTTATTTAGCAAAGGCTTGAAATATCACATGTGGACAACGGAAGATCAAGGAGAACATGCTGAGCTGAGAGATTCAATAACTTGTCTTTATAATATGACTTTGTTATTATTTAGTAGAAGTGTCAGGCGATCTGCAAAATACATAAGATAAAAGCTCCTATCCACTTACTTTAGAGTAACATTCCAAATGTTTTTGCTTGAATTTGCAGATCACAGAATATGCCATCATTGTCATTGGATTGTTCTATGGCTTTCCTGCACTGGGAATGTTCTCTTGATGGTGGCTGTGATACTAATGGGGGTGTATGGTAAGTATTGTAGGAGGAGAGAGCATGAGAAAGCTCCATAAGTAAGAATCAAATGTACTGAGCAGACACCAAAACATTCAAGGATTAAAAGCATCCCTTCTCATAGAAGCATAAATAAGACATGTCCAGGTTTTTACACACACACACACACACACACAGTGGACCCAGCCCTATAGCATCTGTTAAAACTTGTCTCCACCCCACTCAAGTTAAGAAGAATCCTAGGTTGCATCAACAGAGAGATAGTATCAAGAATACATGGAGTATTATGACCATTTTATACTGCATTAGTAATACCATACCTGTAATACTAAGGTGACCAATCATCCTCCTTTAGGGAGGACAGTCCTTCTTTTGTAAGTTCTATCCTCTCTTGAAAAGTGTCCTCCTACATGTCCTCCTTTTCGATATTTGAAGACTAATCTGTAAATCTCCATATTCGATCAATGCCGATCCAATCCGTTGCATGTGATGTGACATATTTGTATTGGACATGACGATTCATCAAGGCTCGGTACAGTGCGGCAAGACGCGATTATGAGACACATGCGCTCCGCACAGGAGAATTGTTTTGAGAGAGTCCTCCGCAAGCAAGAGTGAGCCGCGCACAAGTGGCTTTGTTTACTTCTTACCGAAACACGACATGGCACATATGCACATGTCCTCCTTCTCATTGTAAAAAAGTTGGTCACCTTAGTAATACTGGGTCTAGTTTTGGACACCACAATATAAAAAAGATGTTGAAACTCTAGATGGAGTGCAGAGAAGAGCAACAAAGATGATTAAGGGACTGGAGGCTAAAACGTACAATGATCAGTTTCAGGAACTGGTATGTCTCATCTAACAAAGAGAAGGACTTGATAGTTTTCCGATATTTGAGGGGCTGCAAGAGAAGAGGGGGTTGACCTATTCTCCAAAGCACCTGGGAACAGGACAATAAGTAATGGATGGAAGCTCATCAATGAGAGATCCAACCTAGAGTTAAGGAGAAATTTCATGACAGTGAGATTGGAATTGGAGATTGGCGAGTGGAATGGCTCGCCTTTAGAAGTTGCTTCATCTTTGGAGGCTTTTAAGAAGAGATTGCACAGCCACTTGTCTAAAATGATATAGGGTGTCCTTCTTGAGCATGAAGTTGGACTAGAAGACCTCCAAAGTCCTACCAACTCTGTTATTCTATTCTAAGCTGAATTGATCCTGAGTGGCCACAGGTGACAGAATCAGACAGAAATCAGTGACCCAATAAATAACATTGTTTACATTCAATAATGTAAGATAATATAGCTGCCATTCAGACCTAGTAGCAGAGGTTGGTTCCTCCCGGTTCGGCCCGGTTCTCCCAAGCCGGTAGCGGTGACAATAGGACGTCACCGAACCAGTTCTGCCCCCCCCCCGTGCCCACCCACCCAACCCACGCGTTATTCTTACCTTTTATTTGGCCCCACCCCCAATCTATTGCTGCCTCCTGAGTCCCAGCTGATGGCTAGAGGGAAAAAAAACTGTTTAAACTCTTGCGGCGGGGCTTCAAAGGGCTGCCCTACAGCTGATCAGTGTTAAAAGAAAACAAATGAGTAGACCGATGCCTGCAAAAATAAATGGATAGATCAGTGCCTGCAAAAATACATGAGTAGACCAGTGCCTGCAAAAAAATAAATGGGTAGATCGGTACAGCTCTGCAAGCAGTTAAAAGCCTGGTAGACCAGTACCTCTGCTAAATCCTAAATAACTGTCACATGACCATCAAGCCACACCCACAAAATAAGCCACGCCCACAGAACCGGTAGTAAAAAAAATTAGAACCCACCCCTGCCTAGTAGGATGGGATAAATAATGAGAAGGATATCCAGGTGGGATTATTAAAAATATTCCAATGTCATGTTGTAATTTGCACCTTGTTTACCTCTTTTTCATTGTTTGCAGGCTTAATACATTTAGGTTGAAGCTTCAAAGTGATTTGATTGCTTTAAGTGAGCCAGGTTTTTGGCCACAACAATGTAAAACGGGGCAATCCCATCTTAATATTAGACCCTCCATGCAGACAATCCTCTCAGCCTTTCTCCTAGTCCCGTGATGGCGAACCTATGGCACACGTGTCAGAGGTGGCATGCACAGCCCTCTCTGCTGGCACGCGTGCCATCGCCCCAGGTCAGATCTCTGTGGCATTTCTTTCGTGAGCTTCTATTTTCCTGCAAACGACAAAACAGAAGCTCACGAAAGAAAAAGATCTTACCTCTTGCCATGCTGCCGGTGTTGGGATGCCCTGCCTCCCACCAGCCAACTGGTCTTCGGGTCTCTGCTGCGCATGCGTGCATGTCCGTCAGGGGTGAAATCTAAAATTTTTTGCTACCGGTTCTGTGGGCGTGGCTTAATTAGTGGGCGGGGCTTGGTGGTAAGGTGACTGGGTGGGTGTGGCCAAGTCAATGTCACTTCTTTGCCCTTTTTTAACCTTTAAAACACAACACAACACAACTGGCTCACCCACAATGTAAAAGCAGCTGTGCTTGACTCAAAATGGCCCCGCAACAAGCAGGAACCTCACACAGCCACAAAAAGCCCAAAAAACCAACTTTCACACTTTACACACACACAACACAACACAACTGGCTCACCCACAATGTAAAAGCAGCTGTGCTAGACCCAAAATGACCCCTGCAACAAGCAGGAACCTCACACAGCCACAAAAAGCCCAAAAAACCAACTTTCACACTTTACACACACAAAATTCCACATATAGCTTTGTGAGATTTTGTGTATTTGTGTAGTTAGAGTGAAACACTACAGAAACACACTAAATCTCACAAAGCTGCACAAATATTATTTTATTTTAATTTATTTTTATTTTTATATAAAAGCAGCTAAATTTAAAACTTCCTAAACTTTAAATGGCTAGGTCTAAAAAAAGAACAACTAAAAAAACCCCCCATTAACTATTTTTTTTAAAGCTCCCAAAGGGGAAAAAAACTTACCCAATAGAACAGAGGTCTCCAACCTTGGCAACTTTAAGACTTGTGGACTTCAACTCCCAGAATTCCTCAGCCAGCTTTGCTGGGAGTTGAAGTGCACAAGTCTAGGCAGGAAGGCAGGCAGGCAGAAAGAGCTGCTCACCGATGAGCTGGATTGCAGGCAGAGAGATTCAGTTGCTTGCTGATGCATGGATTGCAATCATCATGCGATCAGCAGCTAAGATAAGCAAGCTGGAGGCTGGGAGAGGGGGGAGAAAAAAAGAAACTTTTTTTCTTTTACATGGCTCTGGTGATCCAAGCTGAGTTGCCTGATTAGCAGGCAACTCAGCTGGGATCGTCAGAGCTTGGCTGGTCAGAGCCATTTAAAAGGAAAAAAAGGCTCTGATGATCGCGGGGCTCAGCTGGGCATGGGGGGCGGGGGCAGGGATTTTTGCTACCGGTTCTCTGAACTGCCCGCCGCCATCGCTACCTACTCACCCGAGCCAGTCCGAACCGGGAGCGTTTCACCCCTAATGTCCGTGCATGTGTGCATTCGCACATGCACACCTTTCAGTTTGGGCATGCACATGCGCAGTTTGGGCACTCGGGGTCTAAAAGCTTCACCATCACTGCCCTAGTCCAGGGGTGGGCAAATGTGGCCCTTTTACAACCTGTGGACTTCAACTCCCAGAATTCCTGAGACAGCCAAGCTGGCTCAGGAATTCTGAAAGTTGAAGTCCACAGATCGTAAAGGGGCCATATTTGCCCACCCCTGTCCTAGTCCATTATCTTTTTCCTCAGGCATTCATCTTGCTTAGTAAAGAGGTCAGGAGAATGCAAACAATTGCATGGTGTTTTGTGGTCTCTCAGTTCGTTTAATTAAGAAATTGTCCCAAGTGAAAATACTAAAGGGCGGCAGTTTGGTGTAGTGGTGAAGGCATCAGGCTAGAAGCCAAGAGATGGTGAGTTCTAATGCCCCCTTAGACATGAAACCCAGCTGGGTGACTTTGGGACACTAACTCTGTCTCGGCCCAACCCACTCACAGGGTGTTTGTTGTGGGGAAAATAGGAGAAGAAAGAAAAGAAGTATTGTGTGTGTTCACTGCCTTATTTATAATAATAATAAAGGTAGGATATCAATAAACTAATAAAGCTTGCGAGAGGTTATCAAAAAGTGCTAATTGGAGCCTTAGTACTGATTGAATATTCTAATGAATCCAGATGGGACTCTCTCTTTATCCAGAATACAATATCTGTGATAATGTGCAGTTTTAATTATGTAACTATAATTCTGGCTTAATGTTTTATAGGCCTGGGCTGCGGTTTCTCAACAGCGACAAACAGAAGCTCACCAAACTCCCAGGAAATGACTGTAATTTCAAATGCACATCAATGCAAACAAGATGAAAACAAATCAAATAGAGAATTAGAAAAACTCAGGATTTGTCTAAGGCAACATTTGTGTCAGGCTACAAATGCATCTAGAGGTAACTCTTTTATCTGTCTATCTATCTATCTATCTATCTATCTATCTATCTATCTATCTATCTATCTATCTACTTCGTCAAGCATGTATTAGATAACAGATATAAGTATAAACATGATTATGAATACATGAAATGGATACAAATACATGGGACAGTTGGACAGGGACGGTAGGCACACTGGTGCGCTTATGCACATCCCTTACAGACCTCTTAGGAATGGGGTGAGGTCAACAGTAGACAGTCTAAGGTTAAAGTTTGGGGGTGTTGGGGAAGAAACCATAGAGTCAGGTAGTGCATTCCAGGGATTGACCACTCTGTTACTGAAGTCATATTTTCTGCAATCAAGTTTGGAGCAGTTTACCTTGAGTTTGTATCTATTGTGTGCTCGTGTATTGTTGTGGTTGAAGCGGAAGTAGTCATTGACAGGTAGGACATCGTAGCAGATAATTTTATGTACTACGCTTAGGTCGGACCGAAGACATTTAGAGCAGAGGAGTGGAGGACTCTTCTCGTGAAATATCTCTGGACACGTTCAATTGTATTAATGTCCGATATGCAGTGTGGGTTCCAGACAGATGAGCTGTATTCAAGAACTGGTCTAGCAAAAGTTCTGTATGCCCTAGTTTGCAGTTCAATATTACTGAAATGTCCCCATGACCCTTGTTATAATTTCTCAGAAATTTTTATCCCCCAAATATATCTATCACCTCTTATTGATTGTTGAACTTCGTTTCTAGAATGCCCATTTCCCTCAAGGAGGCATCATCTACCTACTTTTCTTTTTCCCCTGAACTCTAACAGCTTTTTGTGTATGTGCTTCCTCTTTCTCGGGACTACATGCTATCCAATTCAAGCTGACTAGGATCTATTAACATTTAGGCAGCAATAAACTAATAAGCCTTGAGGGAATCACCAAACATAGAAAGAGAAACAGAGGGAAGGAGAGAAATCTCATAGCGATGTTGATGCAGTTCAGAGTCCACGATTCTGAAGATGAAGTGGAGGAAATCAATAGGGCTTAATCTGCCTTTCTAGCCCTATAGACCATCTCCAGTAGTGAGGGATCCAGAGCTGGGTTTCAGCAGGTTCTGACCAATTCTGGAGAACCGGTAGCAGAAATTTTGAGTTCAGAGAATTGGTAGTAAAAATTCTGACTGGCCCCACCCCCATCTATTCTCTGCCTCCCGAGTCCCAGCTGATTGGGAGGAAATGGGGATTTTGCAGTAACCTCCCCCTAGAGTGGGGTGGGAATGAAGTTTTACAGTATCCTTCCCCTGGAGTGGGATGGGAATGGAGATTTTATAGTATCCTTCCCAGGGGTGAAATGCTCCCGGTTCGGACTGGATCGGGTGATCCGGTAGCGATTGTGGCAGATGGTTCAGAGAACCGGTAGTGATGGCGGCACAAGGCTCCGCCCACCTACCCAGGTGTTGTTACTTCCTGCTTTTAAAAGATTAAAAAAAGACGATCGCATGCCACAGCTGTGATTGTCAGAGGCTTTTTTTAACCTTTTAAAAGCATTTTTTTTACAATCTATTCACCCGAACAGCGATCCCGTTACGAACCGGTAGTAAAGGTAAGTAGAACCCACCCCTGGATTTCACACTTGAAAATGCAAACCTTATGGACAGAGGTGGAAGGAAATATGAATTCCCATAATGGAGAAATGGATCTTGAAATTAATGGACCTGGAGGAGATGGCAAAATTGAGTACTTTGATTGAAGTTAACAGCCTGACTGCTTTTCTTTCTATATGGAAACCATTTTGGGGTTTTTTTGCTTGATAAAGAGAAAAATAAAGTTTTGACTTTCAGATCTGCTAATTAGATATGTTAGTTGATTGGTGTCTATATTTTTATAGTTTTGTTTCTTTTTCTTCTTCTGTTAAACTAAAAGAAGAGTGTATTGTATTATATACAATACACATTGTAAGCCGCCCTGAGTCTCCGGAGAAGGGTTGGTTTCAAAATTTTTTACTACCAGTTCTGTGGGTGTGGCTTGGTGGGCGTGGCAGGGGAAGGATCAGTGGTGGGATTCTGCCGGTTCTAGGCGGTTTGGCCGAACCGTTTGTTAAATTGCTGGCTCGCCCCCCCCTGCCCCGCTCCTCCGCACCACTATTTATTGCTAATAAATAATGGTGGGGCGGGGCAAGCGAGCCAGCAATTTAACAAACGGTTCGGTGTTTTTTTGTAATTTATTGGCCTCACAGCACACCGAACCGTTTTTAAATTGCTGGCTCGCCCGTCCCTCACCCCGCCCTGCCCCGCCCCACCCCACCACTATTTATTGGCCTCGCTCGCTGTGTTGCGAGCGAGGCCAACTTAGTTGCGAACTAAAGCTTGCCTTAGTGACACACCGAACCGCTGGCCACGCCCCCAAACCAGTTCCCGCTCACTCACCCCACCCGCCTGATGTTTGCCCACTTCGCCCAGCCACTACTTGCAGAATCTACATCCTTCCCAGCTACTGTTTTCTCTGCTCAGCAGCAGAGCTTTTTTTTTTTTTATAAGGTTAGTCCCCTTCTTCCCGGGAGAGAGAAGAGCAGGGGTGGGGAGAGAAAAAGAAGGCAGCGTGGGATGGTGGGGGGTGGGAGCGGGGGTCTTCTTAGTCCCGGCTGGATGCTGCTTCCTTGGGTCCCCTCAACTTTTCAGTCCCAGAAAACAGCTGAAAAATGCCTCCTGTTTCCATTTTCTGTCCTTGTCGCCTTCCTGTTTTTATTTGGTTTTCCCTCCCATCCTGAAAGGAGTTTCAAGCAAAAGAGGGGGGGGAGTCTTAATGTCTGGTTAAAATGGGTAGTACTTCCATTTAAAGAAGAAAAGCATAGCTCAGATTATTGCTATGATTTTTTGCTCCTATATTCTGTTGTTTAGGTATAAATTTTGTTAATGTAGAAATTTTACTTACAGCCTATTAAACAACGGAGCTAGCTGTCTGCCTGCAATCATGTGTATCTATTAGGAGTAATTCCCACTGAAAGAGAGTAGCCTTACTGCCAAGTAAACATGCATAGGCTTTACATTCAGAGATAGGGTATCGATTAGTATGAGGTGTATTAGAGAAATGAGAACTTCTGTAACAACAGATACTTTGTGCCAAGACCAGGTGTGTGTGTGTGTGTGTGTGTGTGTGTGTGTGTGTGTGTGTAAGAGAGACAGAAAGAGATAGACAGATAGAAAGAAAGAGGGGGAAGGAGAGAGAGATAGAAGAGAAAGAAAGAGGAAGGAAGGGAGAGAGAGAAAAAAAAACTCTGTGCTATTATTTTTAATTGTTCCATTATTTATCATGTATTAATATTTTACTCTGTCCCTACACCTAGAGTGATTTTACTGCCTTTCTTTTGCCCAGGGCTACCACATATTTTTCAGGGATTTACATGCATTCAATGACTATAGTCCAGAGCATAAATATGTGCGTGTTTATTTGTACATCAGATTGCATAAGTCCATCTTAATATGCTATTCCTGGTATGTGATGTTTTGTATACATACAGAGAAAGAAGCACTCTTATGATCTTTGACTTTTAGGCTTGCTGTCAAACATCAGCCATAATACTAATGACTGTTTTGAACAATATGCAGGTTGTATTACACAAATGGCTATTTTATATGTGAAATTATGACTGAAATATTTCTGCACCTCTATTGGTTCACACTGTCAGGAAGTTTCTTTACAACCAACAAGGAATGCTTATTTTCTGAAATCATGTACATTCCAGTTTTTTCCCCTTCTGGGCTCAATGTGGGCTTAAAATGAGCACAGGACCACAGCCAAGTAAACGTATATAGTAACAGTACTAACAAACATTAGGTGGAGTAGCCATTTTAGATTATTTATGTTGGGTATTAGGGAAGTACCCAACAGGCTACCTGGACAATGCACAGCTGACTCTGTAGCTCTTAAATCAATCTCCTGAATTTAAAATATTATATAGGCACTAGTCTAAAGAAAGATTCCACTATCAGTCCAGTGTGATATTGCAATCTCACATGTGTCAGTTCTACAACAGAACTATTCACAACAGATATTTATTCGAAGCAAGTCCCATTGACTATATGGGAAGGTGCATATTCCCAGGTAATTAAGAAATGACTGGGTGCTTAGGTTGAATGTTTAAGGTTGCAGACCCCTGACCTACCCCATCCCATTGCTTCACCTTGCAGCCAGCCCTGTAGGCCTGCGCCCGCCTCCCATCTGGGCCCCCACCTGGGCGGCCTACCTACCCCAGTTGTATCACCTTGCCCTGCAGCCGGCCCGAACACCCGCCTCAGACTGCCTCCGACTGCTCCAGCAGGTCATTTTTATTTAATTAATTTAATTAAGAATGCTACAATGGGCATAAATGATGACAGGTCAAAAGTGCGAGGACCGGTCAGAAACCACTTTTTTCAGCCCTCTGTGCATATGGACTACTCAGAGGGCTGAAAAAGTTATTTTTGACAGGTCCTCACTTTTGACCAATCTTTGCACTTATGACTGTCCTCACATTTTACGTTTTGCGCCCTATCTTCTCACTGTGGTGAAGAGAACTAGTTGTGAAATGACTGACACGGTTGTTAAGAATGCTGCAATGGGCAGAAATGTGAGGATGGTCATAAGTGTGAGGACCAGTCAAAAGTGTGAGGACCAGTCAGAAATGACTTTTTTCAGCCATCTGAGTAGTCCCTATGCACATAGCCATGCCCACCCTGTCACATGACTAGGTAGCCACGCCCACCCTGTCACATGACCAGCTAGCCATGTCCACCCGGTCACATGACCAGCTAGCCACGCCCCCGACTAAGCCACGCCCACAGAACTGGTTGTTAAAAAAATTGAATCCCACCACTGGGAAGGATACTGTAAAATCATCATTCCCTCCCCAATCCAGAGGAAGCTTACTGCAAAATCCCCATTTCCTCCCGATCAGCTGGGACTTGGGAGGCAGAGAATAGATGGGGGCGGGGCCAGTCAGAATTTTTACTACCGGTTCTCCAAATTACTCAAAATTTCCGCTACCGGTTCTCCAGAACTGGTCAGAACCTGCTGAAACCCACTTCTGCTGCATCCACAATGAAGAGAGTTGGAAGTAACCTTTTTTTAATGTTATTTTTGGTGTGTTTTTTCTTATGTCACTTCTGAAATTTTTCCTGTTGTTCCCCTCCCCCATCTTTCCTTTTTTGTTGTTATATTTCAACCCTTTTATAAAATTTAATAACATTCTTTTAAAAAAGGAAATACTAACCTATGCAAACCATGAAATTGAATGAATGAGTGAATGAATGACCTTAACCCAGTAAAAAATATCATATTTTTACATGGGATCCCCTCCTTACCTTTCCAAGTGATTTTAAAGCTTGAAATATACCTGTAGAGTTGATTACAAACATGATTTTTAAAAGAAAATATTCATTTTATTTTCTAGAGAATGCATCCTGCAGTGTGTGCCCTGTAAAATGGCTTCCGTACGAGGACAAATGCTACTGGTTTTCTACATCAATTTTGTCCTGGAACCAAAGCTACATGGACTGTGCGGCAAAAAGATCTCAACTATTGGTGATTTCTAATACTGGAGAGCAGGTAAAAGAATTTCTTGCTGGTTAAGAATCCATAGCTTTCTTACTTTTTCTATTTTTAATTTTAAATAAAAAGATTTCACTGGTTGGACTAGCATTTACCAGCAGGTTTCAGGTGATACTTCAGAACACTGGTGTCAAACTCGCTGTGTCATATTGATATCATGTGACGTATCATGAGTTTTTTGCCTTCGCGGAGCTGGGATGGGTGTGGCCTGTACTCCATCTTTTTCTATCTGAAGGATAAGTAGATGGGGCAAAATCCACCTGTTAAGAGTTCCCCACCACATCAGAGACGCAACTGGCAAAAAGTCAGAGAGCTGTTTGGTTAGTTAATTCATTTGGACGAATTTAGAATAGAATAGAATAGAATAGAATAGAATAGAATAGAATAGAATAGAATAGAATAGAATAGAATAGAATAGAATAGAATAGAATAGAATAGAATAGAATAGAATAGAATAGAATAATAGAGTTGGAACAGGCAGGAAACCCTATACCTTTTGAGACAAATGTTGTCCAATTTCTTCTTTAAAACTTCCAGTGTTGGAGCATTCACAACTTCTGGAGGGAAGTTGTTCCATTGATTAATTATTCTAACTATCAGGCAATTTCTCCTTAGTTCTAGGTTGCTTCTTTCCTTGATTAGTTTCCATCCATGGCTTCTTGTCCTGCCTTCAGGTGCTTTGGAGAATAGTTTGACTCCCTCTTCTTTGTGGCAGCCCCTGAAATATTGGGACACTGCTATCATGTTGTCCCTAGTCCTTCTTTTCATCAGACTAGACATACCCAGTTCCAGCAACTGTTCTTTATATGTTTTGGTCTCCAGTCCCCTAATCATCTTTGTTGCTCTTCTCTGCACTCTTTCTAGAATCTCAACATCTTTTTTATATCGTGGCAACCAAAACTGGATGCAGTATTCCAACTGTGGCCTTACCAGGGCATTATAAAGTGGTATTAACACTTCATGTGACCTTGATTCTATCCCTCTGTTAATGCAGTTTAGGATTGTATTGGCTTTTTTGGCAACTGCAGCACTCTGCTAGCTCATATTTAAATGATTGTCCACTAGGACTCCAAGATCCCTCTCACAGTTACTACTATTGAGCTAGGTACCACCTATGCTGTACCTGTGCATTTTGTTTTTCTTGCCTAAATGTAGAACCTTACTTTTTTCATTGAATTTCATTTTGTTAGATAGGGCCCAATGTTCAAGTCTTTAACACAATCTCAGTGATAGGACATGGTGAGGGATACCAAGAGCCATTCTTGTAATGAAAATTAAATGATATTTTATAGAAGTTCATCCAGGACACAATACAGAATATGAATATATGGATTGGGCTCAAGTTCAATTTGCCAGAGAAGAAGTGGATGTGGGTTAATGGCTCACCATTAAACCAAACACAGTGAGTATTCAAATATCCATGGAAGGAAACCTCTGTAATGTAGTCTTTTTTGTAGAATAAAGTAAAAAAAAGAGAGAAGTATTTATAATACAGATACCAAGAGTCACTATGGATGTCTAGAAGCATCTTAAAGAGATTATAGGGTCAGCTTTCACTTCATCAATGAAGGAACCACATCAGTAGAACTGTGAAGAAGCTATGCCTAAGATAGGATCCATGGCTTCATTTCATTATTTTGGCTTTCTGCTGCTGTTAGAAATTCTTTCTGTATTCATTCACTTTGCATGCTGCCCAATTCCCAATTACTAGGGCAAAGCGGGGGAGGGGGCTCACAAATAAAACTCTGGTTAGCGCTCTTTCTGAGAGTCATTGAGGCCACCTGGAGGTTTATCTATGCTCTAATGGTCACCTGAAGGATGCAAATGAGTGCAGAGCCTTCTTGGAACTGTTGAAAGGACTGTGCTGTAAACAGGAGATAGATGGTGTCATATCAGTTGTGGGTTCCTCCCGGTTCGGCCAGCCCGGTAGCGGTGACGATATGATGTCACTGAACCGGTTCTCTTTGTTCGGGAGCTGTGCTATCACAGAAATGCAGCCATTTTCTAGGCAGACACATTGAATTGTAAGCACTCCAAAAATGGCAGCTGTTTCCAGGATTGAGTCGGAGAGTCCAGCAATGGAATAATTTGCTCTATGTTCCCAATGCAAGCTCCAGAAAGTTCCACAATGCACCTCAAGCCATGAGGTGAGCTGAGTGTGAATGACCGTCTGAATAGCCTCTTGAAGGTGAAGCTTAATGAAAATGACTATTAGTAATAGTGGAGAGTTTGATTGTATAAAGGAAAAAGATCAGGATAAGAATCATCCTCTATTTCTTTCAGCCCGTACTCTAGAGCTTGGTCTCAGTGGATGAGGCCTGCTTCTTACAGAGAACAATGTTTTGCAATGCCTTTAAAAAAAGGTTAAATATTACTATTAATTTGACAAACAAAAACATTTGTAGAAAAGATGCAGAATCCTTTCCTCATGATAATCCCACATAAAAGATCAGAGTAAGAGATGGAAGCCTCCTTCACAGGCCTAGCTTGCCCCAATATGGGAAGAGCCATCCTCTATTCCTTGAGGAAGATCGCCCAATGTTGTCTTCAATCTGCCCTTCACAAAGGACACCTCCATTACTTTTTATTTTGCATCAAAAAAAATATATCTGTTTTTACGACTCCTGCTGGCACAAATCGTGTCAGGTGGTCCAACTGCAATACAAACTGTAGTCCTTGACTTACAACAGTTCATTTTGTGACCGTTATAACCAAGTTACAATGGCCCTGAAAAAAGGAACTTTTGACTGTTTTTCACACACCATTGCAGCATCCCCATGGTCATGTGATTAAAATCCAGCCAGTTAGCAACTAGCTCATATTTATGATGATTACGGTGTCCCCCGGGTCATGTGACCATCTTCTGCAACCCTCTAACAAGCAAACTCAATGGAGAAAGCAGATTCACTTTACCACCGTGTTACTTATCTTAAGAACTGCAGTGATTCACTTAAGCAAAAAAGGTCATAAAATTAGGCATTAACAAATGTCTCATTTAGCAACAGAACTTTTGGACTCAATTGTTGTCGTAAGTTGAGGACTACCTGTACTTCATTTCATTGTAGGCAATGCCTCTGTACCTGGAGAACACCTTGACTTTGTGACGTTCCAGGCCAATGTTTTTCATATGGCAAGATAAGCTGGATCCAGAAGCAAGTTACAAACCCACAGTGACTTTTAATGATTTCAGAGAGCCAGTTTGATCTAGCTGTTAAGGCACCAGATTAGAAACCAGGAGACTGTGAGTTCTAGTCCCTCCTTAGCCATGAAAGCCGGCTAGGCAACATTGAGCCAGTCACTCTTTCAGCCCAGCTCACTTCATTCACAGGGTTCTTGTTGTGGGGAAAATAAGGAATTGAAGGAGTATTGTATATGTTTGCTGCCTCGCGTTACCTATCAAGTAATAAAGGCAGGATAAGAGTCTAATGATATTTTGCTTCCAAAGCTTATTGCAGTTCCAACAACACAAAAGTCTCTGATTTACTAAATGTAGCATATTTATAGAGGCCTCACCTTCCCTACCCATTACCATTTTGCATGTTTGTGTGCCTTTATGTGTGTTTGTGTATGAGTGTATGTATGGGGGGGGGAGGCTGTAAAAGGCAGGTGTTTCTGTTGATGGAACAGGTGGCTCTTGTTTACCCTTTTTCCTAAACTGAAAGTACTTTTCTCTTTCCCTTCATAGATCTCAACCCTTAACGGCTGACTGCGGTGCTATAGGAAAGAAGGGAATTGTCGCCGATATGTGCAATTCAGAACTTTACTGGATTTGTCAGAAACTCTCGGTATTCATCTGAGGATTTGCATGCAGAATTAAAAATACCACCCCCCCTTCTCCCTGTAAATGTTGGCTACCTTTTTCAGCAATGGCTGTTCCAGCCCAGAGCAAAGAGATGCTATCTGAAGAAACATCTGCTAAATCCTTATACCAGCCTGTTGTAGACGAGAAAAGAAACTTAAAGAGAAGTGACGTCAAATGAAAAAGATTTTGTGGCATCCCCAGCCCATTAAAAAAAAATTGAGCCCATAAAAAGCACCTAGGCACAGTTCTATTATATTACTTTAAAAACAGAGTTCAATAAATGAAATGGAATAAGTTATACTTGCATTTTTAAATATAGCCTGTCAAATGAAAAAGAAACCTATGATTACTTTTAGAGATGTTGTAGCTGTTTCTACTGTATCTATTTTTATGCCTCCCAATGCACAACATCTTCAGTTTCAGATTTATAATTTCCGTCTTTCTTATTCTTGCCCCGTTGATTTCTGAGACGGAGAAGGCTTCACCGTGGACTGGCCTATTCAGTCAAGCTGAGCAACACTGGACTCTTAACTCCCCATCATTTCTCCCCATTGGCTATCCATGAAAACTAGGATTCTCAATTATTGTAGCTCATCCCTTTAATAAAATAAAATTACCATAATACAGATAGTCCTGGAATTGCATTCATTTAACGAATGTTTGAAGTTATAACAGTGCTGAAAAAAGTGGCTTATGGCCAGTCTTCACATGTATGACCATTGCAGCATCCCCATGCTCACGTGATCAAAATCTGGGCACTTGGCAACCAGCATATTGCAGTGTCAGATTGTCTTAACAAGCATGGCGATTTGCTTAACAACCATGACAAATGGTTGTAAAGTCAGATGTGAATCACTTATTGACATTGTTTAGTGATTGAATTCCAGTTGCAATTGTGGTCATAAGTTGAGGTCTACTTGTAATTCCTTTGCAGCACAAATCTCTTTGAAGAAGCATGGATATACCACCTGGAAACTATATGTCATAAATGTCACACATTTAATATGTAGGAATCTATTTTTTGTGCCAACCGCCTCCTCCCAAGAATCACTCCATCTTTAACATCTGTAACACAATAGTGCTGCAAGGGAGGGGAAACTTCCTAATTTTTTGAAACCATATTGATGTGTGGGGGCCTAGAGTTGAAGATGCTCGCCTCCCACTCGGAAGGTTGAGAGTTCAGTTCCTAAGTAGCAGCGGATGTTTCTCTCCCAGGGCGTAAAGAGAAAATTTCTGCTGCAAATTCCATGTAGGAAGACATCAGGAAACACATCCAGCCAGTAAAGACTCAGTTTCATTCAGTTGCTCAAACTGTACCTTGAACAAAGAGGTTATAAAAAGAAGAAGAAAATGCTAGTCAAAATATCTTGAAGATCTAGGAACCTGCTAGTGTTCAGGCCAGCTGAGTTAAGATAGGAGATATTTATTTATTTATTTATTGGTTCGATTTATATGCCACCCTTCTCCAGAGACTCAGGGTGGTTTACAATGCATTAAGCAATAGCCTTCATACTTTTGTATATACCTGCTTAGTAGGGCTTTTGGGGGGCCCTAAGCGGTGTTCTTTTTTATACAAAGTCAGCTTATTGCCCCCACAATCATTTTACCTACCTAGAAAGGATGGAAGGCTGAGTCAACCTTGAGCCTGGTGAGATTTGAACTCCCAGTAATTGCAGGCAGCTGGTGCTACTTAACAGCACTTTAGACCGCTGTGCCACCAAGGCTCTTTAATAGAGTTTAATAGAGTTTAATAAAGTTCACAGATGCAAAAAAATGGTAGACAAAAGGACTGTAGAAAGAATACAGGTCTCTGCAGTGGATTGGTGTAGGTTGTCTAACTTAAGGGAAAGAATCAGTGGTGGCATTCAGCCAGTTGGCACCACTTCGGGAGAACCGGTTGTTAACTTTCTGAGCAGTTTGGTGAACTGGTTGTTGGAGGAAATCATTAAGGCAGAGAATCAGTTGTTATATTATTTGAATCCCACCACTCGAAAGGATCTTTCAGGGAGCTCAACGTAAACCAGAATTTCCTATCTTCTAACGAACAGATGGATTCGTTAAACAGCAGGGCTGCGGTGAGAGTCATAAATTTTAACTTGTGGACAGCAAAAATATGAAGTCGTTTCAAAAGGAACTATGGTAAACATACATTTTTAGATAAGATGTAACCGTTCTTGCACCATTCCTCCTGTTTTTCACAACAAAATTCCAACTACTCCAGATGGCTTGGCCTGATTTACACTACAGGTAGTCCTCAGCTTACAACCATAGTTGAGCCCAAAATTTCTGCTGCTAAGCAAGACAGTTGTAGAGTTTCCTCCCCATTTTATGACCTTTCCTGCCAGAGTTGTTAAGGGAACCACTGCAGTTGCTAAAACAAATAACACCATTAAGTGAATCTGGCTTCCCCATTGAATTTGCTTGATAGAAGGTTGCAAAAGGTACGTCATATGATTCCAGGATATTGCAAACGTCCTAAATATGAACCAGTTGCCAAGTATCTGAATTTTGATCATGTGACCATGGGGATGCTGCAATGGTTGTTAAGTGGGAAAAATAGTCCAAAGTCACTTTTTTCAGTGCTGTTATGACTTTGAACAGTCACTAAACAAATTGTTGTAAATCGAGGATTACCTATTCCACAAAAGGTATTAGAGCAGGGGTGATGAGACCACGTGGCCAATTACATCATCATGCTATTGAAGCCCCATCCCTTTTTTTTATGTCTAAAACTGTTTCTCAACCTTAGCAGCTTTAAGATATGTGGACTTCAAGCTCTCAGAATTCCCCAGCTTAGCAACTCTCCAGAATATCATACAACTGAGTTCGCATAATTCTGACACCACACAAAGGATCTGCATGACTTGACTGAATCCGTAATTGGGGAAATTTCCTGATTTCCTCTGGCTTATTTAATAGAGAAGATCAGACAAGGAAGCGCCATTAAAGGTAATTATTCCTTAGCCTGCAAATTAGAAAAAGAAAAACCACCAGATTGTGATCTTCTTCTTCACCGTGGGATCCTTTCAGATATTTGAAGAGTATTCTCATAGACCCTGAGAGACACTTTGGTGTGGCAATTAAAAGTGCTGGATTAGTCCAAGAATACTGTGAAATTTAATTCTGCTTTACTGGCAGACTCTGGACCAGTGGTGGGTTCCTCCCGGTTTGGTCCGGTTCGGCCGAGTCGGTAGCGGTGACGATATGACATCACCGAACCGGTTCTCCCCCCCCCGCCCTCCCCCCCACCCACGTTATTCTTACCTTTTATTTGGTCCCACCCCCAATCGATTGCTGCCTCCTGAGTCCCAGCTGATGACTAGAGGGAAAAAAACTGTTTAAACTCTTGCCGCGGGGCTTCAAAGGGCCGTCCTACAGCTGATCAGTGTTAAAAGCAAACAAATGAGTCGGGTCGTAAGTGTGAGGACTGGTCGTAAGTGTGAGGACCTTCCAGAAATGACCTGACCAGCTAGCCATGCCCACCAAGTCACATGACCTCCAAGCCACACCCACAAAATAAGCCACGCCCACAGAACTGGTAGTAAAAAAATTTAAAACCCACCCCTGCTCTGGACTAACTCTTCTCTGTTAGCCACAGGTAGAATATACTGCCAAACCACTTCTGGAAATGCTGGCCAGAAAACTGCATATGCTTATCCCTAAAGTCAAAACTGGCTCAACAGTGGACATGTACATTTATAAGAATCCATCAAAGCTAATACATTTAAAATAAATAAATTGAATGTATCATACCTGAACACCCTGATTTAAAAAAAAAACCACTCTGCTTGGAACAGCCTATATCCGTGATGGCGAACCTATGGCACGCGTGCCAAAGGTGGTACGTGGAGCCATATCTGTGGGCACGCGAGCGTTGCCCTAACTCAGCTCCAGTGCGCATGCGCGTGCCAGCCGATTTTTGGGTCTTCTGAGCTCACTGGAAGTAGGAAACAGGCCGTTTCCAGCTTCTGGAAGGGCTGTGGGTGGGGTGGGGAAGGCCGTTTTCGCCCTCCCCAGGTTCCAAGGAAGCCTCTGGAGCCTGGGGACGGTGAAAAATGGGCCTACCAGGCTGTGCCATCGGGTGCCAAAAGTGAGGGAAGCGCAGGGGGTGGTCTTGTACGCATGGCACATTGAATTATGGGTGTGGGCACGTGCACACACAGCCCCCCCCCCCGGTGTTCCCCCTGCTTTTGGCATGCAACAGCAAAAAAGTTAGACATCACTGGCCTATATTCTTAGTTGCCATATTAACGATTCTAATAATTTTAGTTAGGACTTGAGTTTTTGAATTTCCACCAGTCTTAAACTGTACATAACTCACACATAATAATGGAAATAGAACAACTGTGGCAAAAGAAAGTAAAGGGAAGTGCCAATAGTATTAGGCGGCTTGGATGCAATCCCAAAACAACTAGAGCACCACATTGGCATTGACAAAATCACCCTAGGTCAGGGGTCGGCAACCTTAAACACTCAAAGAGCCACAAAGGTCCTAACCGGAAGCCCACCATTCAATTCTGGAGCTGACCGGAAGTCCGGTTCCCACATCATAGAGTCTCCTCCTAGCACGGCGTCCTTTTTCCTCTACCGGTCCTAACTGAAAGCCCTATCAACTGTGGAACCAACTGGCAACAGGGAGCCGCAGCAGAGGGATGAAAGAGCCACATGTGGCTCCAGAGCCACGGGTTGCTGACCCCTGCCCTAGGCCAATTGAAAAAGGCAGCTTTACTTAGAACATTCTGTGAGGATACTTGTAACACCATCAATTCACATCTGCCTATCCCAGGTCCTTGGGATGGACTCAATGGGTGAATAAAAATGCCAAATCCAGTCTGAACATCTGAGTGACTATGTGACAAACCATAATAATAAATCATAACCAATCATGAGACCTGCTATATACTGTACCAACATGACACGAAAAGGAGGAAATGTATTGTGATATCACAAGACAACCCTGGCATTTTCTATTTATAGTCCAATGCTGGTCTCGGGTACGTAAGCCATGGGGTTTGCATCGTGACATCATATTGCCTATTTCACCATATGCCTCCCATGCGTCCCCCTCGATACTTCTGATATCGCCTTTTTTCTCTAACCTTGAGGTCACACATTGTCTGTCTGTTTCAACCCAAGTTACAGATTCAGACTTGGTTAATCAAAAGCCCTGGAAACTAAGAAACAAATTGGACACTGTACTCAGGGCATTTAATAGATAACTTGGACATGTTATCTATGGTAGGGTCTGACCAGGGGTGAAATGCTCCCGGTTCGAACCGGATCATCCGATCGGGTAGCAAGGGCGGTGGGTGGTTCAGAGAACCGGTAGCAAAAATCCCTCCCCCCTCCCCCGCATGCCCAGCTGAGCTGCGCAATCATCAGAGGCTTTTTAAAAAAAATTTTAAAAGCATTTTTTCTACAACCTCTTTGGCTGAAAAAATGCTTTTAAAAGTTAAAAAAAAAAGCCTCTGATGATCGCGCGGCTCATCTGGGATCGTCAGAGGCTTTTAAAAGCATTTTTTTTTCTACAACCTCTTCGGCATGCCCTGCTAAACCATCTGGATTTGGCCAGACTCGTGCAATATGGACAACATTGAACTGAATTCAACAGTAGTGTCAACA